TATCAAAATCCCCTCGACAAGAAAAAGCAATAATCTGAAGCTGGTAAAACACCAATTTGACCAACCGCTCTCGCCCTCCCGTAGTCAGAATGATTATTAAAACCCTAATTATTGATCACGAAGAAGAAACAAAAATGGACTTAACGGCCAAGGAAACATCTCTTTTTCTCACATTGTGTTGATCAGAAGTTCAACTTTAAATTGTGTGATGATTCGTAAATCAGATAGCCAATTTAGAACGTTACTTTATCAATAAAAGTGAAAAATAATATCAGTAGAGTGCCCATCTACAGAATTATAGCAAGAAAGGAAGCCAACGAGTCGGGTGTTTCTGGCTCATATGTTGTGTCGTTTAGAGCATTAATTACCGAACAAGAGCAAAATAGAACATTAAAAACCCAGAGTCATTTTGAATGTTAAAACCATGTGCTGTCAACATTTTTTAACCGAGTCCAGATCAACTTCCGGATAATGGTAAAATAATAGCGGCTGCGAAATCTCGAATGATGATCCGGAATTGCAACGATTTATTTCGTTTCGCCCTGTGATTGAACTGGAAAACTAGCGCAAACTCTTCAAAAAAATCAGATGCAGAGCTAATCAATTGCTCCTTGACCGCTTGCTTTTTTATTGGGTTACGATTTAAATCTGACTTCTCGCTTAAGTTAATTCTTGCTCTACAACTGCAGTTATGTGAACTGAAGCTTGATTTCTGATGTAATCATAACCATTACAATTTCCTCAAATGCGATTGGTGTAGTAACTGCTTCATTATTCACTAATCATTCTCTAGAGTTGTCATTGAACCGTGTAATCAGACAGTTGGCTATAATCGTACACCTGTAATCGGAAAGTTGAAGCCGCCAATTATACTTAGTCATTTCAGTCAAATCCCCCAATCATCATCCTGAAAAAAGTCGTGGAGTTTCCAATGTTGAGGAATTTTTAACTTATAGATTGTCTATCCTACGCGTATTTGTCCTTACTGTATTTGTTGTTTTTGAAAATTGTAACAGTTTTGATTAATTGGCAATAGGACTTTGTGTCGTCTAATTCTGTCTGTAATCATACTCGTGGTTGACAAATCGGACTCCCGCTTCGTGGTCGTCCGATTTTGTTGATCACTCGTAAGATTACAGACCGAATTGGACTCCACTCGGTCCTATTATCATTATTAATAACCTTTCCGACGACAATCCACCGGTTAGGATGCGACCAGATAAACAAAGTGGGACTGAAATGTACAAATAATGGAAGTGTCTCCATAAGAAATAGAACGAATGGTTTAATTCAAAAGAAAAGGAAACAAAAGAAAAAAGGAAGACTGATAGAATGTTGCTCCTATGTCTAATTATTTAACGCAAGAGGACCTTCTTTGACAAAAATGAAGTCTGGTGCTCGTATTTTTCAATCATTCCAAATTGATAAACGTACGGGTTGCTGAGCAGGTACACGTACAGCGATCAATAAGGTGTGTCGAATTTATCGCCCTAAATCGTCTAGAATAACAATATTTTATCACTCTGAGAGGAAGACAAAACAACGAATTATCAATTAGCCTTGGGGAGCCAGTGAACAGGTGACAAAAAAAGCCTTTATACTTATCTCGGATCATTTGTGATTACTGCTAACTTAGGTGGCGTGTTTTTTTTAATGACCTTCGGTGATTTTAGACGATGAACTTGTAATTTATCTTAGTTACTTTGAGACTGTAACTTTGTGCTGATAAACGCATCAAAAATTATGTACAGCCTTTTTCAATGTTAAGTAAACGATCCACGGCAAATATTGGTTTTGATTTGAGCCACTAAGAGGGAGCTCTTGTGTTGATTTTGTAACGGCGAACTCTTAGAAAACTAATACAATACCAGAATCTTTCTTTAGTGCTGAGACGATCGTGCTTCAATATTACGTTCCATATAGCTCTAGACGAATATATTGTTGGCTTGACTAAATTGAAAGAAGGAAAAAAAAATTTAAACTGTTGAAACTCATAAAATAAACATTCCTAAAAGCCAATAGGAGACCTGCCGAGAGTCAAAAGCTTTCCGAGAGTGAAATTTGCAGGTCTCTGTTTATGATGGGTCTGGGAAACAGCCAAGGAAATTAAAAGGTCTAATTCATTGATGACCTACGATAGGGTTATTATTTTTGTTTGTTTTATTATAGAATGGAGCCGGGAACCTTGGTAAAAGCTTTTCTGATAGTGTGTGGTGCTATGATGGTCTCAGGTGCAAACTCTAACTTTGTTGTATAACATATGACATAAAAACAAAAAAAGTAAATAGATCTTATTCTTATTTCATGTCTCTACCCCTTTTGTTCGACTATTACACCAAAGGAGTTAACTCATAATTCCACTATTGTTCCATTTACGGAACAACCACTTCTTCCTCAATTCCCCGTTTCTGCCTCTAAGTTTCTGATAGGCGACCTTGTCTCTTTGAAATTTGAAAATTCTCTGCACATTTATTGTTATGTCCTTCTATTGTTGTTTATTTAAATAAGGTAACATTTCATTTCTATCTTTGCTTGCATGTGTTATCCTTTGTTATTTACCCCCTAAAAGTTGTAACTGAGGTTTTCAACCAAAGTAGAATGCTCACCCGATAGAAGGCTTCGATATTTCCCATCACACTCTTGTACACCTTGCTTCTTTTCCAGCTCAAGAATGGAAAAATGTTGGAAACTGTGGTGCAGGATTGAGTAAGCAGCTTTTTAAATCCTGATTAAAAAATGTCGCTTCTTTAAGGTTTCCTTGCGATTTTTCTGTTGCAATTAGTCATCTATTTCTTGGTGAAATTACAGAATGTGGTCCACAATGTCAGAGGCTTTGTCTAATCCAGCACAATTACTACCGTTCACTGCACAACTCTCCCCCACTCAAATGCGATCCGAATTTAGCCAAATCGGCGCAATCCTGGGCAGACTCTAATGCCAACCATGATGCCGTCCAAAGATCAACGCCGACAAAAAATTATGTCGAAAGCATTTCCTGGAAGAGATGGGGCTGGGAAGGAATGGGGACTAGACTAGGAGCAATTCCCAGTGCAGTGAGAAGCTGGTATAGTGAGCTAAAACGTGGTTACGATTATAACACAGGTTAGCATTTGGATTTTAAGAAGGCTAAAAGAAAACACAATCTTTGGTTAATTAATATAAAGACGGGTTCATGGCGCCGGTTTAAAAATCTATAAACTGATTTATTTATTCTGAAGTATGGTAGCCTCCGTTCACCGAGGGATCAGTCATAACCTTTCACCTGAGAAGGGTTTGAAGGACCCGAGCCACGAAAATTTACCTAAATTCTCCCTAAGATTCTTTATTATTGGCCCTCCATCCCTTTCCCCTGAAAACCACGTGATCCCCAAAAATTCCCCATCCCCTCCCCACAGCAACAAATAGTGAGTGGTCCCCAAAATTGTTTGCATAAGACAGAACTATAACTGGAGATTTGTAATATGCGCATTCACAATACAGTGGCATATTGAATATTATCACAATAATTTCTTAGTTTATGTGTCGTCATAAACACGTACGTATTTATTCACAGGCCTAGGGAAGGGCATTGTAAGCCACTTTAAGTCCGTAGTTGACGCTCGAGAGACTCACCTTGGTTGTGGTATCAGAATCAAACCAGGCGATGGAACGTACGTCGTGGCTCATTATTCATTGCGTCCGCGGCTACAATTCAAGCTAAACGACTTCAGTTCAACTAAAAACATTGGACTGCCAAAACAGCCTGGTAAGATGGCATTTGGACTATGTATGCAGCCTGTTATCAATAGTGTCACTGTTAAATCCCGTATACATGTACAAATTCATGCATGAATGGAGCGGATTCTCTACCATTTATTGTACAGTATAGCCGCAAACGCTAATATATCTCGTATTCAAACTTTACTAGAACAAACTTCCGTTCATCGAAAATTTAACAAACTTGACATGACACATTGTTGA